CTTTGGTTCAGCCACTATAATCCCAAAAGCTTCTTTTCACTTTTATCCAGGTAAGTTTTATTATCTGAATTATGGCTGCAGCCAGCTTGAAAGCCTTTTATGTTCTTTTGCAGATGAAAAATTCAACTTTTCTCTCGCTGAACAGGAAAGAAAAATGAATTATTTCGGAGTACGTCTTATGTGAGACAGAGTAGGATTACCTATCAACATCAACACCAGAGTATCTTCCTTCCGGGAAGTCGATGGGAACCTGGAGAGAAAACATATATTTTACAGTTTGTCACGATCAAATGTTATTAGTTGAAAAGTCATAGCTCCTGATTTATTATCAATGAGCACATGTTTCCGTATCACTTCCTTTTACGTAGAACTATAATGTAAACGAATTATACAGTATAGAGATGTTATTTACGTCCATCTGTTTATATCACCTTGAAACTTGAAATTTATGGGTGCAGCAAAATCTATCTGCGTGTCAAAACCCGGATGCACGATTTAAAACTGAAACTAAATGCATTGGCTAAATTTTTGAGCGGATTCAGCAAGAAAGAGTACTACTGTCAAAAAGGTTGGTCGGGAACGAAACATCAACATCAACGTCCTTGTGGTGGTTGAAAAATGTGCTCTCGAAATATCACTCATTAAAATCTATAAAAAGTATAAAAAGTCTTTGCTAAAGCAAGATTGGTGTAATCGTGTCAGGTAAGCAAATATGCCGCGTCTAAAACTGTAGGGGAAGATCCGGTAAAATTCCTAATCATCCACCTCACGTCCAGTGTCATGAGAGTCTTCCAATATGTTAATAATATTCGGAGCGCACAGCTTTCCTTGAGCTTTGCTCTCGGAAACCTGTTTCTTTCGGAACAGAAAATGTCCGTGGACAAATATCTGAGCACTTTTCCAGCCCGAATGGAAGCTATTGTTTAATTACTTAAAAATAAAAAAGTCAAAATATAAATCAGTGGAGGAGGTATCGCAGCCCTCACTTTACGAACGATAAACCAGGCAGCTTTTACCATTTTTTATCAAAGCAATATCATGTTCTCACTTCCTACCACATGTTTATACTTGTGATAATCTATGAATAATAATTCCTTTGTTCCAGCAAACAAGCAGTTGATGTTTTCCAGTCCATCGTCAAAATGTAGAACAGACTTAGTTCCTCCGCTGCTAAACCACATCACCTAAAACACATCCATCAAAGAAAGATTCATTTTATGATTTCCAAAGAAACAGAAATATAAAACAAGAGGTTAAACTCACAGCATCAGTTAACATGTCTGACGTTTCTGTTACATCACGGCACAACAAAGGAGAGGGAAGAAGAACATCGCTTCTGAGAAAGAAAGAAAATTTGAAATTGAGAGCAAATATAACTCTGTCATTTAAATGTAATTCTACCTTAAACTATAAAGAAATCGCAAAATTATTATTACAACATCAAATACTTTAGCACGAAGAACAAATAATTTGTCTTGTTTAATGCTACGTGTAATTGATATTTCCTATGCGTCGGAGCAGGTGTATTGGGAAGAGCGGTATAATATTATTACGAGATGAAATTATTTTGAGAGCTTAAACGATGCCGTTTTTTTTCTAATTTGTTGAGCTTAGGATGTATTCAAATGACTTTGGTAGTCCTAAAACCACCGCAGGTGTTTTCGATTCTACGATGTAAACCTGTCCCTGAGATCGGGCTAGACAGGAATCCCAAACAAACTGACGTAAATACAAAAATGCAAGAAGATAATGACGTGTCTCGTATGTATTGGCCCGGTCGAAACAGCACGGAGAAGCATAGTTTTTAACTAAATGAGAGTAGTGAAATTGCTAATAAAACAAATAACATAAAGCAGAGAAAAGAATCGCCACAAAATTGGCTTAAACTTACTTCATTTAAACTTACTTCATAAACTCGGGAACAGAGCTCACCATATAGATATCTTTCTCCTTGTAACCCTCAACGAATTCGCTGAAGGGAATTTCCTCGTAAGGTGCTGTCCGTTCCTCTTTCTTTCTTTTCTCTACTTGTATTTTCTCTTTGCTCGCTTCGGGACGAGACAAGAAGTATTCATCACTCCATTTATAAAAGGCTGTCGACAATTTTGCGGCGTTTTGAATGAGAACTGGCTTGCTAGGAACCACATATGTCTCAAAGAAGGTTTTTGGGTCGGGATAATTCTGGATTACTTCCAAAGAGTGCTTTGTGTTTCTTGAACCAAGCGGTTCTAGATGACCGGGTATTGAAGCGCTATCTTGGGTCTCGACTCCGTCGGTTTCTGAAGTTCTCACGAGCACTAAACACGACGATAACAAACTGAAAATCGTAAAGAGAAGCCAAGAGAGAGATCTCATGGTTATATGCTCTAATCGAAAGATCGTCCGAGCAAAGTATTCCTAAGAAGAGAGAAATTTATTTATAGGGAGTCGAATATTGGACTAGGGATTGACTTTGGTGTTCACGTCACGAAAACTTTGAGATTGCGTTATCAGTATGCTTCGAAAAGTTTGAAAACAGTTTCAAATTTTATCAAAACGTTCACGTTTTCTGACTGTTTAGGCGTTGAGCTGGAATGTTTGGCTGTTATTTGACACTTTTCAAGAGCCTTAGTGAGTTTTCAATGTGTCTTAAGTGGTTCCTTAATAATTTTTTTCTGGAAATGGTTATTTTCTTCGCATGAAGCTTTATCATATTAATTTTTTACTTATCGGTAAGTTTCTAACTTATTCTGGTCTGTTCTGTAAGTGTGATCTCAGGAAGTAAGTCATATCCTTTCATTGATTGCTTTAGCCGAGAGTGATCCACGCTGGACACTTTTTAAAGTTTATAAGTCGTACATTTGAAGGACTTAAGACGTGCATTTTAAGGACTGTTTACCATCCCAAAATGTCATGTGAGGTCATTTAAATTTAATAAGATGAGGCAATTCACCGGTCGTCTTTTACATAGCGTGCTTCATCGTAAAGTTATGTAGCTTTCAACGCAGCGTCCGGGGTCCAGTTACTCATATAGTAATCCAATATTGCACTCATTTCTGTGTTGTGTTTTAATGATCTTGCACTCATACTTTGATATGTGCCACTGTTTTCCGATTTTGATGACTGAATTTTTGAAAGGAACCTGTTCAATTTTGGCAGCCTGAGCTGGTTATAATTTCTATAGTGCTATATTCATCAAAATTCAGCCTCAGGACTTTCGTTATCCACCTGTTTTAGTATGCGGGTGTTTATTGCAAATCATACGAATTCTTAGAAGATGGCTGTTCCACCAAAGTAAGTTCGCGTGGTTGAGCAACCAGGACCAAGTGTTTCTAAACTATATATAGGTTGAATGCAATATCTGGGGTATATTTGTCTACTTACGAGTGAAAAATATTGCGCGGATTTTTTGTGGGAAAGGAAACGTACTACAAAAACCAATATCGACCACAACACTGCAAGGTATTTACATAGATTGTGATCATTCATAACAAGTGAACTAGAAAACGTTTAGAAGAAGAAACCACCACGTGCTAAACAAACAAAACCAAAAAAAGCTTGCTGTTCCATGGTATTCAGATTCGAATTAAGGATCTGGTAGACCTTCGGGTGTCCCGAAACATTATAACAGTGCAACCACCATAAATGGAAAGCTTATGAAATGTGCTATCCAGCAAAACTTGTTTCATCTAATTGTAAATTTCCAAAGGCGTGATATCTGGTCCATCACCCGATAACGGCTGCAAATATGATCATGCTCGAGACACTGGTGTCTTGAGCTTCGTCAGTTTCATATATATTTAGGCCATAGCTTGGAGTAACCCCACAAAGATCCATTTCGAAACTTGACTTCACATCCCGATCAAAATTAAACTGCCAATCTGCCCCCGGACCTACCAAATTCCTGCAGCCCTTTGCTTATCAGCTAGCCCAGTTTTCGCTCTTGGAGGGTCTGGTTCATTTTAGTAGAGTGCATGAAAACGATGAAAGTCGACAAGAGATTATAGACAGTTCATATACTCTTGATAATTTGGTATAATCAACGGGTTGATAACGTAAATTCGCCACCGTAAAACGTTTCAAAGCTGACGTTTCGAGCGTCAGCCCTTCGTCAGAGCGAATGACGAAGGGGCAACGCTCGAAACGTCAACTTCGTCTGAGTCCCCTAAGGAATCGAGCCTCAGATCTTCGGATTCCGGGCTCTGAAGCTCTACCACTGAGCCACAGAAACTCTATGATGAGCGAGGTCTGTTTCGAAGTTACATATGAAGCCCGTCCAGCTTACTGCTAAGATCCGCAATGTCGATAGCGTCATGTTTGTAAATAGGAGAAGAGGGATGGTAAGTTTTGAGCTCGGTAAAGAAATAGAGAATGGTGTTTTCACAAGAATTCATTTCTTGTCTCTAAAGAAATGTTCTTCAACAGTTAGGTCACAACGGGAATGTCGGAAACAGAATAATAGCATAGATATCAAATAGCGATTGTGAAATGTTTGTCTGGAAATTTTGTTATTCTTATGTCTGGAAGATTCGTATCTAGCCAATCAGCGTTCTTTTTAACTAAGGTGTCCCGCAAAGATAAGGAACAATTGTCTGTGATTTATTTAGCTTTCAGTCGAAGTAATCTTTCATATCAGTCGAGTCGAGGAGTTGTGACAGTTGTGAAACCTAGCGAGAATAGAAGAGGAGAAGAATAAAAATCTAGTGAAGACGAGACAGTGTGGGCTATCCTTACTAATTCCCCACAGGAAAATCTCAAACCTCAGCCTAGCCAGCCGTATTGACTTCTCGGTGAATACGGCAAGGCCTCAGTTTTAGATTTTCCCGGATCGACTTCGCTTTTCCTTTCGCGTATGGCATTTTGCTCACGGAAAATGAGTAAAAATGATGTGAGCCTTTGTCGCCTGTGGGTAAGATTAATGTATTGGGAAACAGAGATGAGATCGCATCTCTATATATCAAACTGACATCGGCAATAAGAAACTACATTAGGAAAACACAAGGCTTTTCGCCCCAAGCTAAAAATGAAATCGACATATCCCGGCCAACGCCCTGATTTAGCCTTTAAACTCTTGACTCCAACCAGTTCAATAGGCCATTTTACAGTTGTGTGCTTGGTTGCCAAGCCTTTGAACAGGAGTGAGGCTAAGGTTGATCTTGTTATGGCACTAATAAGATACATAAAAAAAATTACTCAGTTCTGATTGGTTAAGATAAATGCAGTTTTCAGGTAATTAAATGCAGAAGTGGGTTAATTCAGTGCAAAGAAGTAACAAACCGGACTGAACAATTCCTTGAACTGTTAAGCCCGACTTTGAACTTTTTTGCACCTTAAATATGAAAACATTATTCTATATTATTGTTTTGATCGTACGCGGTTATATTGACCGAAAAAAAACACGAAATTGCACGAGCTTGTAGTGAAATTTTGTTAGTCTTTGAAAAAATTTACTCGTGCTTAGTTATTCCAAAATGCACTCGAAATCATGTGATTGCCTATACAAACCTCGCTGCTTCTTGTCATCATGCACTAGATGCCTCACTCCAAATCAAAGGCCTGGCTACTAAGTACACAACTGTAAAAGATGATCCATTGCCGTTACGAAAAGAGATCATGATTAAAAATATATAAACAAACGATAAATAGTTAAAAGGATAATTTAAGCTAACTGAGGGAGTTCTGGTTTTTGTTTTCGTTTTGTTCTCCTTTTTTGCTTTTCTTGTTTTGTTTTGTCTTATTTTCTTACATTATTTTTTTTTTTCAAAGGTACCATTCACACAGTCCCTCTGATTAGAATTCCATTCCGTTACTTTTTTTGCGCATGGGCACGACGATGAGAGGCGCTAGGAATCTTACTTGAGCTTACCTTAGCTTTTCTTGCGGGACACGTGTTGTGAAGATTAGGTGAGTGAAAAGCCATTCATCTTATTCCAATCTGTTATCAATGGTTTAGACTAAAGACTAAACCAAACTAAAGACTTTAGACTAAAGCAGGCGCAAGGTCGCCGTTTTCGCCATGGATCATGACCTGCTGTTAGACTTTAACACGCGAACGTTAATAGCCGGTGGAGGAATTGAATTATTCTTGCTTAGACTCACAATTAGTTCCAGTAGGGGGCCATTTTAAACAAAAAGTAACAAATGAAAGTGCTTCTGCATAATGGTTGTAAAAATTGGGTAGTATGACCATCAAGTGAGTGAACACTGCCTGAACACCAGCTCTTTGAGTAGGTCAGTCGCCATAATAAACAATACGTCAGCTTGTGTTCTGCGATTTCATATTAGAATTTTAAGTACGTTCTGTATTGTTACCTTAGAAGTCTTTCGGTAAATTTCCATGATTACATTTTTCCCTGAGGAGTCTTAAAATCCAACCTTGAGCCTAAAAGTATTATTTATTGATCATCAGTTGAAATACACCCTATTTAAAAAATTTGGCTGCCATTTTCGATTATTTATAACCTTATTGATCGTAGAAATGACGCCAACAATGTTCAAACTGATGTGACACCATGAGGCACACGGAAAAAGTTCTATACGTATTATCTTCGTTATTTAACAATTTTTCTCCTGCAAAGAACAAACTTTGGCCGAAAGCTCTCGAGATTTTAACAAAACATACCTTTAAGTTACATCTTGAGGTGATCACTGCAAATAATTTTTTCTGTTTTGGAGTTGGGGTCATAACGGAACACTCACTGACTTGCTTTAGGGGTAACAGTGAGGTTTGTTTTCCTTGGGCTTATCATTAATTGCTTGTCGTTGAATAATTTCTAATTTGAAGTTGAGGGGAATATTTAGCTATTATTGCATGAGCACACTTCAGATATGAGATGGTAAATAGCTAACTGGGGGCATAGCACCAAGTTGGCGATAACCAGTCTCTTATTCCCCAGGCAGGAATGGAAAAATTTTTTTAACTACATTTCATTTAATCCTGAATGTTTAAATTTTAAGTGCATTTCCATCTAAGGTGACTCAGAATACAAGCTAATAACCAGAGTTGGGTGAATCAATCAGAACAATACTGATTGTGAGGTGATTAATTTTTCAGGTGATCATCAGAACAAAAAGCACAAATTTATTTTATTTTCTTACATTTAACTTCTCTCACATCAAAGAATAGGGAAATGGAGAGTGGTGTGTAGATCACACAACCAATCTGTAAAGGGGACATGACAGTAGCAAAGAGAAAATGGAACAAGATTATTTGTGATGGCAATGTTAATAATTGTTCGCCCTGAAATTTCTAACACAAGTTTGTGATGTTTACGATTTCCACTTTTAATTGTGAAATATATGCCTTCAATTTTCTGAACCCCTGGTTTTTGGATAAGGTTGTGTTCAGCCTGAGTCCTCTTAGGCATAAATATTGATGTGCGTTTTGCAATATACAAAATTATTCTTGATGTAAAGGAGTAATATTTTTTTTTAATAGAAATTTGTCAGAAGAATCAAACCAAAAAATAAAGGATTTTTAAGGATTGACAAGTAGGAGATTGTTGATGACTCTTGAAAAAAAATCCTGATCATATTTTTGTAGAGGTGAAAATTGTTGCACAATTCCTTTTATGGTCAGTTTCAAGAAAAGATAAACATGCATTGTTATAATGATCTGTTTGGTTTTTTGGATGGGGAACAATTTCCCACGGTGTGAGGCATTGCCCCCTTCCTATACTGATTGATGCATTTTTTTTACCCCTGTAAAATATGATGAAGGGTTTTCCTAAGAATGAATGGAGATGGTAGGTGTGCTCTAATTGGGTAAAATCCTATTGTTTACCATACCAATAAACCATCGCTATCTTACAAAAGCAACGAACTGCATGTTCACTTGCCTGATTATGTGATTTTTATGCTCAGTAAAAGTAACATGTGCAGTGCAATAATGAGGAATCTTCTTAACAAGCATACCAATTCACTGTACATCTTGGGAGAACTTGAGACCAGTCTGTAAATCACATGCTTTTGGTTTGTGACTCAACTTCTCAGTGTTGTTTTTTGCTAAATTTATGTCTTGGGATTTGTACCAAAACAGAAAGAATTTAAAGTATTATCCAGTATGCAGAACAAGGCTGAATAGTTTAACATAGTTGAATTTATCTCAATGGTTTTGAAACTTTTGTATGTGGCAGGGTCAGGATTAGTTTATACTTTTGCCACTTTAAAAAAGGGTATGCAAAAGATTTGCTGTGTTCACAAGTGAGATATCTTCATTTAATTAAACTACTTTATTAAAGGATAAGTTCTTTTAAAAAATTGTTGACAAACAATTTTTATTCCTACACAGATATTTTGGTGGCCTCTAGTTCCACAACAGCTTGATAAGGAGGTCATACAAGTGAAAAAATGAGACTGAGGAAACGTAGATTACTAGTTCGCATGGTACTTTTTCTTGTTCTTGTGGGGCTTTATGTAGAGATAAATTTACAAAGTTATTCTTACTACAAGAACTGGTTCTGGAGACCTGTTGTCAAGTGTGAAAACAGTGAAGAAGAATTAAATGCACTAGTTGACCTCACATATCAAATCCACATGATTTTAAATAAAATGAAAGTAGGCCATTGGCTAATGTATGGTTCGATATGGGGAGCCTTGCGGATTGGCAGACCCCTCCCATGGGACAATGATGTGGATATTGGATTTTATGGAGAAGACAGATTTGCACATATGACCTTAAATGAATTTATCGCTCCCTTCAAAGCTGCAGGACTTAAAGTGAAAAACAAATGGATTCAAAGTGGAACCATTGTCATTGAAAAAGAGGGTCTTCCACTAACCGTAGACTTATTTGCATTCTACAATCAAGGAGGAGTTATGAGAAGAAGAGGATTAGAGTCTTGGATTTTTGCTCTGAATTATCGCACTCATCACTCCTTTCCTGCTAAGCTAGTTGAACCAGAACTTCCTCAAGCAAAGTTTGGCTTCTTTAATATTTCAATTCCTAAAGGAGGGATTGAAATTATGAAGCACCTATACCCCTATAACTGGTGGAAAGAAGTTCCCCCAGTTGGGTGTTGAGCATAGAAGTCAACATAGGAAAGTTTTTAATTAACTTTAACCCTTTACACCAGTCATCAGCGAAAAAAAAATTTCCACACAGTTCTCTGTGAATTGCCCATGGTACCAACCAGGAGAATTTGCAACTTGGAGGGTCAATTTTTTGTTATTATTCTTGTGTCCATAATGTTTAATTTAAGCAGTGATACTGCAAGGAGATTAGAAACTAGTCACTCTTTGGGATTGAAGGGTTATGATTTCCTCTATTGTGTAGATTTTAATGATCTACAGAGGCATTGTGGCTGATTGGTTAGGGTGCTGGTCATGTAATCTGCTGGCCTGAGGTTCAAGTCCTCCACCCTGCTATTTGTTAGATTTGTTCTCGGTTATTCCAAGTTCAACTTCTTGGCAGCGCTTTGTACTTAACCAACTGGTCTGTCTCCAGTAAGTTGGGATTTTTTAAACATTTGTTTATTTATAATGTTTTTCTCAATTTGTTTGTATTGGCCCTGAAAAGCACCATTGGGGAAGTGGTCAATTGATGTAATTATAATTATTTTTTTAAATGGGAAAGATTATTATATTCTGTCTAATGAGATTGAATTTTTTTAAAAAATTACCGTCATTATTATTATTAATAATACAATCATGTAATTTTTCAACACTTGTTTAGAGTGTAATCTTTGTTTGATCTCTTTAAAAATTATTTATCACACAAGTCTAAAAGCAGTGCTCCAAGCTGGGACTGTTCTGGTGGCCTGAGAGAAGAAATTTTGGCCAATGAATTTGCAGCAATGGTCTCCAGTTTGGCTCCCAGTGTTTAATCACCATGAAGCTAATCACTTAGGGCTGGTTATTTAAACAAAGTTAAGCTGTAGTCTTTTGGGCATGTTACTTTTAATTACTTCAAGGCATGTTATGTAATTTAATGTAAATAAATGTTGTCATTGTACACTATTATTGTATTCTATTGTTAATTAACACTCAGCTGGCAGAGGCTTTTTTGCATGGACAAAATGAAGATTAGAAACAATTCCACAGAAACAGTTTGAGAAAGTGGACAATTGTCATGCTCCATTTTTCAAGAAAGTTGGGCTCAGGGTTCTATTTTGTAAAGTGTACAGGTCTAAAAGATCCAAAAACTTTCAAAGTTTCCCATGTTGGTGGTTTTGACTATACCCTCATACTACCCTTTACACTACCTGTTGTCGTTTCATGTTTGTCTGATTTCGTAAATCTCGCATACAATTTCAGACTGAATTGGACTCAGCTTGTCCTACTAGCATTACTGGAACTTATTTTTAAAAGGGAATTAAACATTATAACATCTAAGGCCTCTCCCAACCTGTGTGATTAACATTTTACCATGACCATTCGACAAAAATGACAAAGTTAGAAATTTGAAGTTATGGGAAATCTGGACTTGATGGGGAGGGACTGGAGACTACAGCATCCACGTTACACTGATAATTAGGTTAGATGTTGCCCAACTTAATGATTGCCAAAGATCATTTTTGGCTTGTTTAACAGTAATGCTAACAAAAAGAGAGGAAGATCATTTCTTTAAGAAGGGGTAACCAATCATGTAACATATTGGACATACAACGCATCATTGGCTAAGTTGTAACATGTTTGTTTTCTTGAGCTTGAACAGATATTATATAAAAGGGAAATAGCTTTAGATCATTTATCACCTAAAATGAACATTGTCCAACCAGAAGTTATCAAGAATGAACAAAGTTCAGTTAAAACAAAATTCCCATCAGAATGGCTATACAACAATCATGGTAACAGCCATCCATATCCAAACTGCTTGATCCTAAAAGCAACCACAGCTAAAGTATAAGATTAATCATCTTACACAAAATCAGTGCGAGCTGTAGTAATCTTCCCATGCAGGTGTTTTGAATCTTTCCATTAATTAGATTCTTTCCTATATGTGTTCTATGTACTAATCTACTTGCTTGTGTGTGTGTGTATGTGTTTTTTTTTTGTTCTGCACTAAGGTGTAATTATTTTCACTGCTTAGCCAGGAAATGAATAACAGTGAGTACACAAGAGAGAAGAACAACTGTTTTCTCTTGAAAAAGTGCATACCAAGCAGCTCTCTACAAGTTTTAGTCTCTCCACAAGTCAAGTCTCTCCACAAAAAAAAAACAGATATTACTCAAGTGAAGTTGGAAAACCTTTAAGCTTTCTAGAACAGAAGTTAATCATTAATTTGATGGCTAAAACTTCACAAATTTTGGTAAGAAATGGTCTGGAGAATTTTCTAAAATACATATCACAGTTCAGTTCACATCAACTGTGTAGATGCCTGTCAATTAAATACTGTTTTTGAAAGAAACTTGGACAACCTTTCATTAATGTATAAAATCTGGAATCAGGTTTAAATTATAGAACTGCAAGCAAAAGCAAATTTCAAAAGCACTTTCAAAAGATCTGTAAATTTGTCAGTGGAATACAAGTGGGCTTGCTGGTATTTTTGTTCACAACAAAAGGCAGATAATGCAACTTAGGTCAGAGACCAAATGTTAAAGTGCATAAAATGGTACAGAGCTGTGTTTTTCACTGATCAAGAATTACAAAAACAAATCACTTATTTACTACCAGACATTGATTATTTTCAATGACTTGTTCACACATGTCTGTCCTAAGATTGTCGTAGTTTAGCCAGCCTCTGTGACAACTCATCCTGCAAAGATCGAATGAAGTACATTGTAACAATGTTTGATTATTTTAATATTAATTAACTTAATCTAAAATTAACAAGGGTGAATCACGCCTGTAACTGAAAAGCAAGTTAAATTACTGGTACATTATTATAAATTATTGTAAATAATACCAGTAACCATTATATGACACCTAAACACAACATTTCTGTGATCCCAACATCACTCATGATTACTGATATCACAGAGTTAATCTAATGCTGGTAATTGTTATAAATCAGATTGAGAGTGCATCTCTTTTTTGAGAACTCAGGAACTGAAATATAACTATGAGTATTACAGCTGAAGATTTTAACTACAGAACCTAAACTTCGTGGAAGTGTAACATGTACAGTAGTTTACCTGCTCTGCAGAAGCAGATGAAGCTGTACCAATTGGCTGACTTTGTTGTCCAGCTGGTAGTTCCATGTTGAGTTCCAAGCTATTTGGAGAAGATAGGATTTTGAAACATCATGTTTAAGATCAACAATTGAGAGTTACATTCATTTGATAATTGAACATTCATCCAACATAACACATACTACACATTCACGAAAACTGGAATAGTGCATATGCAAGAAAAATTATACCACCTAAATGGCATAAATTTTCTTGTTATACAAATGTACACAACTATAAAAGTCATTACGTAAAAATTAACCCTGAGTTTTCTTCCACTGTTGTAAGTTTGATTGTAGTCATAAGAACCAGTATGGTAAAGGAATAATTTCACTTTGCCAGAGAAGGGAAAAGCAATTTAATTATTACACCAATTCATTTTACTTACCCAGCTTCATCAGCAACCTGCTGCATAAGACTATCAACTTGTCCCTACAAAGTATAAAGAACAGCACAAAAACGAGAATCATGATATTAGTGGTATCTTCAGTAGGTAAGAGTATTTGTCTTAGTCCAAGTTTAGGCAGTCCTATTGTGACAGACATATTTGTGGTTTTCCCTTTTCAGAACATGAGAGTGTATCAACAACTAAAAATAAGTCTTGTACAGTGCATAGCTTTGGACTGATTGGAGTCTACAAGACATGTTGTTTTTATGAAATTTTGATCAATGAATGTACTTGAATCAGCATTGTAAGCCAGTGACAGCTGGGACCCATACCAAGGACTGACACCATAGCATGATATTCATGTGTTAACATATCAAAGACGTTCTTCACTGAAATCCTTTAGCCACAGACACCTTCACAATTGGCCTCATGACACTCAGAATGTTATCATCTTAAATTTTAAATGCTAAGAACAGGTGTTGGAACCACCTCAAATTTGCAAAAAAGTAAGGGACTTGTCAGAAATTAGCAGGGGGGGAGGGGG